TGAATAAAAAAATAAAATTAAAATCTGAATGGGAAAGTTTCGGTCCGTCAAGTCGCATACATTCCTCTTCAGTGCTGCGCAACTGGACCTTGTCAGTGTGACGGTTGCAGCGAAAATTGAAATATTAATGAAGTAGCGTGATAACCAACCGATGATTGCAGGACTGGGCAATTTCATTGATTGCTGCACCGAAAGCATTGCGCTGAGTTTTAGCAAGCACAGTTGGAAGAGATGATTTCGGGCGTGGAATGTCAGCAAATCGATCAATGAGAGCGGTAACGCCGTCTTCCGTGAATGTGAAATAATTCCGTGCGGAAGATGCCAAACCGTGGTATTCATCTCCTCTGGTGGTCCATCCAGAAACAGCTCGACCGCGTTCAGCACAAGTTTTTGGAAATTTGGCATATCATTGGTAACTGAAATTTTAACTTCGTAGGCTTTTTGTGAACATTTGTCGTCCCTTCTCATCCTCACTCGATTTTCGCCGTTTTTAGTTTTATGCTATTTTATACAGCATAGCTAAGGTTGGCAAGTAAGAGCATCCCAGTGACATTCACATCGGAAACTTTGGTTCACCACACCAATTCTCCAAGCAACCCGCACCATTTTGTCAATGACTGAACAGTTTTCAAGATATTCCAGTACTATGAGCATCTATTTTCTTGAATACTGATGCATCTCGCAAACTTTTCATAGCTGCTGTAATCGAACTTTGATCAGTTCACCGGTGGTTCTTTGGTTCGTTTTTTTGGAAAAAAAAATAGTATACTAAAAAGTTTGACTGCTTATATGGTCATAGGGAAACGCTTTGAGCACTCTTCGATTGCTCTCTCCGTTTCGGCTAGCAATTCACTTTTCTGCTTTTGTCAGTGACCACATTGCTAGGGGTTGAGTAATTATGAAAAATAAGAACATTACAAAAACAATTACGAAACAAAAATGAAAATACGAAGAAATCCTACCCTGATGAATTACTAGGATGACGACTAATTTTTTAAAGCGAAATAACGACTTACAAGCATTTGCAACAGCCGCAAGTACGGCATGATGGTCGGCAACATTTTGCATGTTCGGATCCAAATCTGCTGTTTTTTCTTGCAAGAACTGGATTTGTCGGCACAACGATTCGGACGGTTTTGGGAGCACTTCGGCATGAGAGTTGCCTAACTTCTTATAGAAATGGATCCAAATCGCGGCTGGCACCAGAAAGCGAACAAACAGTAGCTGATCCGTGTCGGCGCCTGACCAAGTCTGCTCATCACTGAAGAGAAGGGGAGAGTCGCTTCATTTATAGGTTGAACAGTGGTGCATAATTCAGCCCCCTCCCCCTCCAATTCTTTCTAAATCTTTCGCTAAAATGCTTTTATCCATAAAAAGTCGTCACTTCATCGTTTCATCACCAGCTCGCAATCTCCTATTTTGCTCGCTTTTGAACACGCCGCAAGCAACCAACTCCTCGGACACTACTGCTCAGGTGGCATCTTCCTTTTATCCATCTCCCTCCCCCCCCCCCCCCCCCCCCCCCCCCCCC